GACAACTCGGGAAAGCCCATCTGGAGGCTTTTAGGGCAGAGCTGGAGTATGACGGGGGATCAACACCAATCTCCCGGGGGCGAGGCTCACTGCAGTCGTCAAACCAAACAATTCACAGTGGCAGCCCGGGGTGGAGAGATCCGCCCAGAAATGCTGCGGCCCTCTGTGCGGGTTGAGTGCACTTGTCTATGGTTGACACGTCTCATTAAAGTGCCGTGGAAGTCGGAAACAGTACCGAGGAGTGGCAGCGGGCTGTGGTTCCCTTTTTAAAAGGCGATCAGAGGGTTGGGCCAAATTACAGAGGCATCCGACCGCACCTACTCAGCCTTCCCGGAAAGTTTACTCTAAGGTACGTCGAAGGAGGGGCAGGCCGATTGGTCGAAGCCGTTCAGTTGCAGGAGGCAACAATGCGGCATTTCACGTCCTGGTCGGTGGAAGGGAACGGATCAGCTTTTTTACTCTCCGCCGAAGGATCCCTGGAAGGGAGACGCCTGGCGCGTACGCTTCGTATCCAGCATTCATGTGTTTGTAGACTTGTGAGAAGGTGTTGCAAATGACCGCGGTCCACCAGGCAGAGTCCGCTGTGGAGCGTGCTGCGGGCAAGTATGGGCTGAGGGGGTCTCTACACAGGCCATCCAATCTCTGTCTCCCCGAGCGAGAGCTGATGTTTCGGGTCCGTCGGCGTACGTCGGACCCATTCAGGGATGGGTTTGCCTCGCAGGGCTGCCGCTTCTGTGTCACCAATCCTGTTTGTAAGCGGTATACATGGCGGATTTCGAAGGCGTTGTTCCGTGGGGAAGGGGGTCTGCGTTCGGTGACTAGCATTGCCACCATGCTGTTGCAGATGATGCTGGTGCTGATGGCCCCTCAATCGGCTCTGCCGACCTTCGCACTCACTGATCGTTTCCCAGCAGGAGTGTGAAGCGGCCTGGGATGAGGATCAGCACCTGCCAAACTGCTGAAGCCTATGGTTCTCAGCCAGAGAAACGCATGACTGTCCCCTCAAGTAGGCCGAATGGATCCTATACCCAAAGTGAAGGGTTTCAAGTATCTCGGAGGTCTTGCTTCTCGAGTGAGGGAACAACGGAGCCGTGAGATGCGGAGAGAGAATCGGAGCAGCGCGAGCAAAAGAAGGTTACGGCAGCTATCTTACCGCACCGTTGCTGACGAAAGGGAGCTGAGCAGAAGCCAAAGCTCTCTGTCATACCGCGCCATTTTCGTTCGCCTACCGCTCCCTTATAGCTCATGAGGGATTGCGACGGCGTCAATGACCGAAAGAACGAGGATGCGCGGTACAGCGGCTCGAGATGGGTTTTTCTCCGCAGGGTTGGCTGTTGTCTCCGTTAGAATAGCGTGGAAGTTTGTTCATCCGGGAAGGCGACTCGAGTTGAACCGGCTCCTCGCCTTCGGCGTCGAAAGGGCCAGTTGAGGGTGTTTCGGGCGACCTCAAATCATCAAATCAATCAAATTGTTTTTTTATTAGCACATATTCACAAATGCTTACATGGTTGTCTCAGTGGACTTCACAGTTTGTACAGAATATCAGTATGACAATACGACACCCTCTGTCCTTAGACCCTCACATCGTACAAGGAAAAACTTCCAGAGAAAACCCACAGTTTAAAGGGAAAAATGGGAGAAACCTCAGGGAGAGCAACAGAGGAGGGATCCCTCTCCCAGGACGGACAGACGTGCAATAGATGCCGTGTGTAAATTGAAAAGATAATACATTTGCAACATAGGTAGTCCAAATGTTTGGAAATGCATGTGTGTATAATAGGAAGATGAATCCACGAGTATATCCATCCAGGACTTATGATCCAGGACCACAGCCACGACTCAAGATCCAGGACTCTGCACCTAGTTAGGATGCCACCTGGGCGCCTCCCCAGGGAGGTGCTCCAGGCACGTCCAGCTGGGAAGAGACCAAGGGGTAGACCTAGAACCAGATGGAGGGATTATATCTCTTCGCTGGCCTGGGAGCGCCTTGGGATCCCCCAGTCAGAGCTGGTTGATGTGGCCAGGGAAAAGAAAGTTTGGGACTCTCTGCTGGAACTGCTACCTCCGCGACCCGACCACGGATAAGCGGGAGAAGATGGATGGATGGATGGATCCTCAAGGGCTTTCTTCCAAGGCTTTTCTTTTGGCCATCTAAATTAACCAAAAATTAAATTAACTCATAAACACATTTCTTTATTTTTTTAACTAACACATTTGTCATGAAAAAGCGGTTTAACTTAATCCTTTTTAAATTGGCCTGTTGAGTACACTTTGTTATTTTGTCTTTGCTGCTGAGTACCTTGTGAAAGGGTGAAAGAAAAAGTTTGTTTTCCTTTGTTGAAAATCCTAAATTGATAGTTGAGATTTCAATACAATCTGTTTCTAAGAAGTGATTTCACATCCAATTAGTAATACAATTAGAGATATTTCAATTATCTATGTTTGTTCCTGGTACTGAGGAAAAAAGAGGCGGTGCTTAAATATAAAAGGCGTCATAAAAAACTGAAAAACTAATTTCAACAATGATAGTGTTAGACAAAAGTAATTCCCTTTAAGTATGCCAATGTGATTTTTTTGTATCTTTTGCAATCAATTAGTTCATCATCTATTTAACAGGGAAAGATTAGACCCATTACATTTTCCCGGCTCTTTTATGATGTGTTATTGTCTAATGAACCATGAAAGGGGGGAGGATTTTTTGCATACAGTAGCATTTCATGGCACACTGTTGGGTGCTCCACGGCCAGGGGCCAAAGTTCTTAAACGCAATTACTGATGAAAATCGTTTCCTTATCAGTAAGAGACTAAGACATAATTTCACTGCCAAGTGGATAATAATATCAATCAATGCAAAATGAGGAAATGGATAATTTCAATGTTCTGGTAAAATAGTAAAATCATTTTTGATGATTTTGTTCTTTCTTTAGGCAGGATGTGATGCTGGTAATGTTGTACCTTGTTCGCAATGTCTTTAATTTAACATTTTTTCAAAGGAAAATAAATTGGAGATTGTGCCGTATTGTTTAATACATCACAATATTAGTTTTACTAATGTATTTTAAGTTGGCATGAGTTACATTTACTGTACATTTTCCCATCCAGGCTGTGGTAGGTGTGTATTATCCGCTGCCTCTGTGATAGTTTGAATAAAGAAAAAGTCAATTGGGCCTTGTTTAAATCTGGTTTTAGACAAACTCTTCCTGCTTCTTTGCTGATATGTGTTAGCAATTTATATGTCTCTAAAATATTTATAGACTAAGGTCATATTTAGTATTAAAGTGCCATTTTATAGAGCTAAGAGCAATAATACAATTGTAATACCCATCCCTAGCCGCTTTAGTGAAACAAAATGGAGTTTTTATTTTGTATTTGATGAAAAAGACAATCTTTTGGATCAACATTAGTTTTAACAATTCATGAAGCAGCAAGTCGATAGTTGAAAGTTTCCTCCAGTGGTAATTGACACCGCTGGGAGATGGCGTCCTTCCACATTAGTGGCTGGGTGTCATAACATATCGTAAAGCAGACTTCTAACCTTGTCAGA